TTTTGTCATTTGATGTTTTATTATATTTTATTTATTTATAAGCCTCATCTCCCCCTTGGGAAGGATCATGATTATTATGAATGAAATTTTCTGCACTTTGTGTCTAGGTGTGTTTGAGAGCATTGAGAGTTCTCGTGAGAGCTTATGTGAAGTCTCTAGGTGAGGGCAAAGCAAGATCCATCAGCTGCAGGAAGCGTCCGGGCTCATAGTTTATTTTCGCCTCCACCCACATTGAGCTTGCCGCCACCGTCATCTCCTCCCAAAGCTCCAACCGATCACCTCCTTTCTCCTCCTAGCCTTGACTAGGCACAACCTCTCCTTTCCCCCCTCTTCATAATTGCTGATCACATCCTTGATCCCATGGCCGAAAGTATCATGACCCCCTCTTCCTTTTTCCCCCAAAATTTCAAATTGATCATCTAACATTTTCCTAAATTAACCTAGCGTTAATTTCGGAAAAATCTTAAATTCAAAATTGAAATCTCCTAAAGCCTTGAAATCCTTTTCTGAATTGTCGGGTTATGTTTGGAAATATATTCCAGTCAATCAATTTGAATATTAATTAGTGATCTCAATTAATTCCCCTTCCTAAATTAGCAGTGTTAATTTTGGAAAATGTGAAATTCAAATTTGAAATCTCCTAAAGCCTTTAAATTCTTTCCCAAATTGTTAGGTTATATTTGAAAAGATATCCCAACAAATCAATTTGAATATTAATTGGAGATCCCAATTAATTCCACTTTCTAAATTAGCCTAGCGTTAATTTTGGGGAATTTGAATTCAAATTTGAATTCTCCTACAATCATTGAATTCCTTTACTAAATTGTTGGGCTATGTTTGGAAGGATATCCCCATCAGCAAATCTGAGTATTGTTTGGAAATCTAAATTACTTCCTTTTTCCTTTATAGTTGGCAACTCCACTAAGACCACCCCAAATCAGCCCCCTAAACATTTAGTGATTGCCTCCCCCCAATTTCATGTCAGGAGCTTGTTGTTTTCCTCCCAAATCATCTCAAAAAAAGCTGTCTACTGCTAAAATATAGGATCAGTTCATTTTCCAGCACCACTACCAGTTGTTATAGGATTTGGCGCCCACATAGTTGTTGTCCAGAATTTTCGGAGAAGTTAGAGTGCTGTCCGAGCATGCAAGAGGGTTCGTATTGTTGTCCTTTCCACATAGGCAGCCAAACGACTTTGCCGCGACTTAATATTTTCTTCTGTGCGGGTAAACTCTCTCTCTCTCCCCCCCTTGTATCTTTTTGATCCCTCCTCAGTCGTGGCGTCGTTTTATTGTAAAAGCTTATCCGCTTAGCCCACACCAAGAGCGTTGTTTGAGTGGACCTTTGTAGTGACTAATCTATTTGTTAACTTAGGGATTGTCTCTGAAACACCACATGAGCATGTTATTAATTAATTTGTTATTTAATGGTCCATCCATTAGCATGTGATTGTTTTCGTAAACTTGATTGCTCCCTTGCATGTGATAGTCATTGCTTAAGTTCATTGTGAGTTAATGAATTGTTAAGCTCTGTTCAAGCATGCGTAATTTCCAAGTCAACTTCAATTGCATATATAGTTCTATATCAGAAACGGGTTCTTCTATATAGCATCTTACAATGTGTAGGTTCTAAGGTGTAGGTTTCAAAAGTTTTTTCAAACATCTTATAAATAAATATGTTTAAAAAATATGTCCATTCATGCTGTCTTTGTTAAACAAATAAGCTATTATTTATATCTTCATAAATATCATAAAAAATTTTTTAGGTAACATTATTTTTTATATGATCAAAATTAACCACCTTAATGTGCATGTATGTAGGACAAAAAAAATCTTTTGAATGCATTATGATGTTTGTTTTCGATTTCAACATGGTGCTTAAAGATGAAAGAAAATAATTATAGAAATTAAAATTTAAACCTACTTTGCCTGTTTATGTTTGAACTTTTTTTGAGAATTCATATATTTCAAAGTGTGATAGTCGAAGTATAGCACAAAATATTTATGTAACAAATAATATCTTAACTATTGAGACATTGTACTTTTTAATAAATTTCCCTATCATACTTTGAATGATTTTATTTAGCCTAATTCAAATTTTCACTAAAGATATGATGGAATGTTGTAGTAGTTGTTGAGTTGTCACACCTGTGATGTGATGACCTAGGAATCTAATTGGAAAGAATTATTTTTTTAATATTTTTAGCTAATCACCCAGAGCCATTAATCATCCATTTAAAAATTAAAACAGTAAAAATATCATTTCATTTCATATAAATATCAATGCATACAATTCTATCTAGTTATAAAATAATCAATTACAATAGCCAGAAAGACACCTATCACATCACTCTCTCAATTATATCCCGGGTTACAAAAATAAATAACAACGTAAAAATACCTATCACAAAACTTAGATCAACTTGTCTCTACTGGATCTTTACTCTTTTTTGGAAATAATGTAAATTAGGTTATCAAAACTTATAATTATTATTAATGCATAATAATAAAAATAATATGCATGGAATCATTCAATTCAAATTAGTTTGAATATTAAACAATTTCTATGAATAATATGAGTCATTGTACTCAATGTCATTCAATAACAATATAAATTAATATGATTAATAACCATAAAGGGATCAACACATTTTGTCATTCTCATACCCTTATCATTTACAATATATTATTAGGTAAAATCATGAATCTATATCTATTGGTTACCATGAATTACACCTTTATCAATTATTAGTGAAGGTAAAAGTAAAAAATGTTCTCTTTATATCATGTCATGCATGTCACTATCAATATATGCATAACATTTAGCATGTATATTATGTATTAATGTCATGTGTCATATGTATCATGTATCACTACCATGTATTGATATCATATATATTGTATCATGCATTCTATATTAATCTCATCAATCTTATCATATGCTTGTATCAATGATATCCTATATAATATCATATCATTTATAAAAATATCATGTCATATTTTATTATATTAATTCATATGTAATTATATTTTGCATACATGTTCATGTACCATCAATAATAAGAAAGGAAGGACATTTGACTATTTTGGTGTTTTTTGTTACGCTTGGACCGGTCCGGTTCTACACCCGGCGGTCCAAAGCCAGGCGGAACCCGATCGCAGAAATGGCGGAAGAAGAGAGCGGGCTAGGCGGAGTTTGAGCGTTTCGTTGGAGGGAATTTTTGAATGAGGAGGGTGTTTATGTAATTTGTATCTTTCCTTTTGCTTTAATTAGGGAGTTATGAGAGAATTAGGGATCATCTTGAATTTGAATTATTTTGAGATCTAGGGTTTGTTGTTCTTGGGCTCTTGGCTTTGCCGGAGATCGTTGGAGAGTTTTTCCTTCCTCTCGAATTGAAGGAAAGTTGTATCTTGCAAGTGCTTTTCATCTTCTATTGAAATAAAAGTGTTTGCTTCGTTTCCCTAAGAGTTCTAATGCGTTTTCTCTCAGATTTTCTGTGTTTCCTGCTGTTAAACTGCTGTGGACAGCAGTTTTCTCCTGGTTCTACTTTAGTTTTGGCTAGGAACTACTTGAAACCAAGTATTTCCTATCATTTTTCCTCTATCAAATCCTATTGGCCCTAAACAATAACAACAACAACATCAAGCCCTATTGGCCCTTCACACCAAATAAATCATATCAGTTTTGTAAATAAGAATTAGTCATATCAATGACAAATAAGGTGGTTTAATGTAAGAAATCACCACTTCCTGTTTGATGGCGTATTATTAAGTCAATCTTCTTATGCCTCCCATCATATCACCTAGGATTATACAACGAACCTTATTCAAAGAAAAGTCTGTCGACTCACTCTCCTATACAAGATAACATATCTCTGGCTAGCAGATTTTGTCAATTAGTTCCAACCAAATTTTATTGCTTCAGACATGCCAAATCATCTATATATAATAATAACAATTATTACATATGTACATATCTAGTGTAATTAATATAGTAGGTAAACATATTTAGTGTGCTTATCAGCGTGTATATATCATGTTAAAATGCATGTTGTGTTAAATGAGCAATAATTATGTGCATGTTATGTATTTCATCATATCCAGATTTAGATACAGTAGTTTCTACTTGTTTTATAAATACTTTTATTCTAATCATTTTATATAAATTAACATATATGCAAAATTACTTAGTTAAATCTAAATGTGATCTTCTGAAAATGCTCAGAATGATGACATCTACCACATTTCAAAAGTTGCATAGAAAAAATAATCTAAATCACAAGATAATGCATTTTTATAAAATTTGAGAGAAAAAATTATAGAAATCAAAACTACTAAAAACAAATATAGGGCAAAACAATTTTTATAGCTGGAGCGACAAACGAAAATGACTCAAAATAAATCTTCTCTTTCATCTCTCTTCCCTCTCTCTCTCTCCCCCTTTCCCTTGTCTTCTTCACCCGGCCATGCATGCAAATGGGGGAGTGAATGGATTGAGATTTTTTTTATAAAAAAATATTTTGATCGTGCTAGTGTCGCACCATAGACCCTGATTATTATATAATATAGGAGCTAACACCGCTATGCCGAAGTCCAGCGTTATCACGCTTCAGAGAGCTGAGGGAAGCTCTGCAAAGCTCTCTAGCACAGTGCCACAACAATCACGACTAGGAAGTTCATGTATGCAAGATTTTATTACCAATTTCAATTAAGATTATTTATAGTTCTTAAAATTTGAGGTTATTACAATCTATCAATCTTAGAAAAATATCACCATTGACATTTCTATACGAATTAGTAATTGATAGAATGGACTATTGATCACTGATCACATCAAAACCACAAGCTTTTATCTCCCTACGTGGGATCGACAACATGAATCCTTTTTCGTTATTGTGCTTTGTCTACACCGAGAAATAGAGAAATCTGTAGAGTATTATTTTATGTCTGTAATTTATTTTGTGTTTATTTATATAATTGATAAGGGCAATTTCCTTACAGATAAATGGTGATGGAGTGAGGAGGAACTTCTACAGTGGGGATTCGCTTCCTTTATGGCACGAAGAGTTAGAACCCCGCAACTCTTTGCTAGATATACTCTCAGCAGCAGCAGCTACCAGTCCCGACCCAATGAACATATAATAAATAAGCTTTTTCTTATGCCTTTCTCACCAACCCCGTAACTCTTTGCTAGTTGAATCTTCAATTACCAGAATTTGTTACCTTTTTCATAAACCATGAATCTGTTTTATTAAAGAATTTGTTACATTTTTGAACTATCTTTGATCAATCTGACCCATTGAATTGAATCTTTTATTGCGCGCTTGTGATTTATTATTCATGCCTTAAATGTTCGTTATATTATTCTTTTGAACTTAAGAAACAACATGTTAATCACGTCATGAACATACATATTGATTTTTTTATAAATAATACATTTGTTCATTTAATGGCTTAATTAGAAAATAAAGGGACCTTCTATTAATTCTAGAAAAAAATTGCATCATTTATGTGAATTTAGCATTTATCAAATTGTTATGCTTCTTCTTCTAACATATGCTTGAATATTGAGTGAATTTAAATCAAATAAATTAAGCTTGCAAGTGAGTTTTTTTTAAGTGATTTTTTTATCGATGAAAATCAAGAGTTATTTTGTACAAATATTTAAAATAGAATTCTTGCTAGCACTGAATGATTAGGAATTCTTGTGGATAAGTTCTAAGCCCTTTTAAATTTGTATATTATGGATTAGAAAAGTGATGCCTGAATATCAGCAGTGTGCACAATTTACTTAATACTCGTATTTTTTTTCTTCCCTCGCAATATTGACGGTTAGGTGGTGAAATTAAAATGGTTAAGAAAAAATAAAAAATTTTGATATATAATTGTTTAGAGGTAAAAGGCTCGAATTTTAAGAAAAATAAAGAAGGGGGGCTCTTATAGATTCTAAGGAAGCAATATATTAACGTTTGCAATTTATATAATAATTTCAAAAAGTCTTAATTAGAAAGTATTAAAAATAATTTTTTTAGTTAATTTAAATAAAAAAATTGATTCGTAATATGATAAAAGAAGAAAAAAAATTTATGTAAATAACACGACATAGATAAACGTTTTTTATACAATCTTGACATTATTAGGTTAGCTTAATATTATTCTTACATTTTCCAAAAACAGTTATAATTGTTAAATAGCTTCCTATTGGCACAAATATGCTAGATGTTCTGGACTAAACTTCAAAGCTGTGTATTTCGTTAGATTCACCTCAAATATTTTGGCCACCTTTCTTATTTATGCTTTCATTTAAAAATGCATTCAAAATAATATTTCTGCAAACTTTATATGTCATTGTCCATTAAATAAAAAATACATAAAATTCGAATTCAAAATTTTGAACCAATAGATCAAAAAAATCGCCTACATAACATAAAGCTAAGTTGTTAGAAGCAAGGCTGTTACTTAAGAAGATTTATTAATTGATTTATATATAAATACAGGGGAATAGAAATGACGCCCAAGTACTAATCCAATAATTTTTTTTTTAAAGGTAAAAATGAATAATTTGTTTACAATTATCATACTCTTAACAGATATTATTGTGAAATAAAATTTCAATTAAAAAAAACTACAATTAAACAAACTTACCATTTTCCTGCAAGCTTTGGCCATGCCACAATGAATACAATATTAACTACACGATAAAATGTTAAATAAGAGATCTTAATCATCCATCAAAAAACACTTGGAATTCCAATGCAATAATACCATTACACTGAAAACTATCATCAACAGGAAGAAATTAAACTGTCACTTAACAAAAAAAGAAGACAGATAATAAAGAAATGCTATTTATGATCCAGTAGTAGCAAAACAAGAAAACATTTTTTCAAAAATAAGGAAGAATTTTTTATTCGATATTGATGTAAGAATTGCTAAGCAAAACACTAACCGCTGCCTCCCTTCTGCTTGAGTGTTATCTTGTCGCCGAGACTGAGAGCAATCCCCTGAGTTTTACTCCTGATTCTGATATAACCGCTCAGCTTTCCATCAGAAGACTGCTTCTCAATACTAATGTTGACCAATGCATCTTCACCAAATACACTCTTTGCGTATAGATTCGCGGCAAGGAAACCACATTCTCCGTCCAGTGCAGATCTGGAAACCATATATATATATATATATAATAATCATCATACAAATTATATCATTTAAATTGATCTAATAATCCTAAGAAACTTACGGGGCTGTGAGACATTTCATATTAGTGGATTTAATGATGTGATCGAGGAATTCTTTCTCATTTTGAAGAACAGTGTTCACTGCTACCTGAAATAGGAAAACCATGCAAAGTTAAGTTGTTAAATCAAATCAATAAGAACAAAAACCAGTTTCAGTCTATATTCAATTGATGAATCTTGTTTTGGACCATGTAAGAATTGCTTTTGGGAAGATATACCTTATTTTCCCACTCAAACTCTGCCCACATATTTCTGAAGGCCACATCAGCACATATAGCTGGAGAGATGTAGTCCATAATGTCAATATGTATGTCATTCAGGACAACAACAGTTCTCTCGAGCACATTTGAAGTCTCATAAACAATGTTGCCGAATATGACACCAGTTTCTGTGGACGAAACCTTAATATTGGCTCGAATCTGTTTACTGGACTCTGGTGCTAAGGTATAGTTTTGTGGCCGCTCAACAAGTTTGAGGTCACCCATTGTTGCCAACTCCAAGCACAGGTTTTGAAGTGTATCTTTAGTGCGGTTGATTACCGTCACATCAAGCACAATGTCATAATGATGAACTGTCACATAAGCTTCAGCATAAACTGGATCACTAAATCCTGTCAGTTGAAGAATGCGATTAAGCTTGTTGGCTTCATCAGCATCCATCGTGAATTCTCCAGTTGCACGTTTCAAGTCATCTTGAACTTCATCCTCCAACTCAAGCTGACTCATTCCCTGTAAAGGATAGTCATACAATTTTTTTTAAAATTTTTTTGGGAAAAGTCATATAATATTATACTTTCATAGAAAATGCTGCATAAAAGGGGTCAAATCAGCTCCAAGCTTCCAAGAGCCCTTTCATAAAACATATTCTTAAATCTGACATAATTAAATATTGACTAACCTAACGAGATGCTAATTATTTAATGATTATAAAGATAACTTAAAGTATTTAAGGAATAAATAAGATTTAACTAGGTTAAGTAGCACTTAGGTGGATTAATGCTTTATGAATAAAATAACTTAAATATGCTAAATGCTATATATATATATATATATATATATATATATATTACACCATCAAAACATATATTTTGTATTAAGTTAAAACAAAAACAATATATAAAAAACAACAACTACTACATAAAGCCTTTATCCCACTACGTGTGGTCAGCTACATGAATCCCTTTTTCTCCATTGTCTTACTAAGAGTCAAATTCTCATTTAAATTTAATAAAAAATATTATTGCTAATATTTTTCTAGCCAACTCATTTCTTAACATAAACCATATTTACTTTCCTAACTGGGTCATCGAAAGACCAATGTTTTATGTGTCCAAACCATGGAGCTACTCCAACCTTTTCACGTATGTACTCGGTTTGCATTCTGTCTCTAAGGGTGAAGCAACTCGTCTACTTCAACATCCTCATCTTTGCAACAATTAATGTAATTTTATGCTTCTCTTTTAATGGCCAACATTCTACGCTATAAAGCACTGAAGGTCTCAACCCTATCTTATAGAATTTTCCTTTAAGTTTGAGGGGTACTACGCAAAAGGCTCAATGCATTCCTCCACTTCAACAATCCAACTTGAATTCTACTAATAATATCCCAATCTACTTCATCATTACTTTGCATAATAGACCCAAGATATATGAAATGTGTACTCTTGTTAAAGACTTAATATCCCAAAGTCAAAATCCCCCCACTAGAACTATTACTAAAATTACACTCAATGTATTTGGTTTTAGATCTAGTCAAACTAAAACCTTTAGACTCTAAGGTTGACCTCCATAATTCAAGTTTTCTTTCAACTCTCTCTCTCTAATCTTATTAACAAGAAAAATATCATCCGCAAAAAATATACACCATGGAACATCCTCTAGTAAGAACATCAATGACTAAAGCAAAATGATATTGGATTAAAGCTAATCCTCAATGTAATCCAACTAAAAGAGGAAAATACTTGGTAAAACCACCTAAGCATTACCCTAGGAATTCTATCCATGATCTGTTGGACATTCCATCTTCCCTTCTATATCATCATAAGAATTCCACACCAAGCATTAATTTTTTTCATGCACATATTGCGTCTACAACAGTAAAATTACGTGCCCTATATCTTTTAGTGATTACCATATTACCATCCCTAATAAGAGCAATTGCTTGTTTGTTACCTCTTATTCATGATGCATTAATTTCAACATTCTGAAATCTAAAATTAAACCTCGCTCCCGCCCTCTTCCAAACAATATTATCTAAAAACCTGTGATTTTCTTGCTCTTTAAATATTTTCCCTTAATCAAGTCACAAACTCGCATTATTTGACACAAGCAACATCTCTTCAGTGACCTAGTCAATCCTTGTAATTCAACCTAAGCTTCTAGTAGTCTACCACACACATGAATAGCTGCTATGGTAGGCACCAAAAGACAACATGCAATCTGCAATGTCACTTTTCTCTTTCTTCAAGAAATATTTCAAACTATGTTTTTCAATCCATATACTGTAATTGAAATCCTAAACTCATATATTTTACTTTTCATCAAAATGCAATTGTTAATTGCTCATTTTGGAATTTAATGTGTAACTATCCCATTAAATTTGATCTTTTAATATATGTTGCACATAAATATCATGCAATGGGGTGTCCATTAAAAATAGCTGTGAATACCAACAGCTAAGACTGGCATATCCCTCTCAATTATGTTCAATGTCACAGAATCTCACTTGTCAATGAACATAAAGTATCTGCTATTCCAGCTCATTTTATTTTGAAAGAATAACACTACTATCAAGAATAGCAATCTTGAAATATCCTTGTCAAGAGAATGTATTGAAAAAAAAAATTTAACCAAGAGAGGTGAAATAAAAATTTAACCAACAGGTTGTCTTCAAAATGCTTTTCATTTGCACCTATAGGAGTAACCAAGATAGGAGTAACATCCTTAATGCTCTCACAGGTAGAAATTTTGCTTTCAATGCATGCATTATGTCAAATGACCAAACCAAAAAATAAAAAAGCACTAATTGAGTTTTTATGCAAGAAAATGGAAACATAGTACTGTCTAGCAAACTAATATAAGATTTTTCATATAGATATTGAAGCAGCATATCGAAACATGCTACAATCGAACAAGTCCATAAAAGAATTGTACACTATAAAATAACACCAAAAAACTAATTAGAAAAAAATGTGGGTCCAAAGGTCACTTTGAGTAATAGGTATGACTATTATATCATGCCATTTGGACAAGAAATCTTCATTTTCATATTTGTAATGCAATTATTGGCATAGGAATATGAATTCGAAGAAGGTTATTCAGCATACCTTTCTACTCTTCAAATGGTAGAAATCAATAAGATCATCAGGTTGTGCATGAGATATCTGAGCCTTTGCTTTGAACTCCTCAGTCTCATTGAACTGCTTATCAGCAAGCATCTTTGCAAAACTCTGGCGGCATGACTGTAACCATATTCTCCTTATTTCATCACCAGTGTTGCAGAGAAGCCTTATGCAAAGTACTACTCTTTCATATGAATCATTATCAATTGGATGAGGAAGATACGATGACTGTCCAAGCTGCAACATGGAGACCATGATCAATAAGGCCCCACTACAGAATTTATTTAGTTCTGTTTTGGATGGCTGGACCTCTTCCAACCTCAAAACCAGCTTAGTCAAAGTGCAAGAAACAACAGCTCCTAAAAAGAAATCCCCTGAAAGTATCAAAGATCTCAAATTTCCAACTGCAACCAAGGAACCGGGAGCAAGAACAGGAGCAGACAATGCAGTTTCTGAGGCAGCACTCTGTGTGGCATAGGTTCCATCAGCAAGGACAGCTGGCCTCCTTGAAGAAACAGTGATGGAGGAATTTATCTGCTGAGGCCGCTTAATGGCATCTGCACCATCACCCTCCTCAACAGCTGTGTAGAATGGGAGCTCACCAAGGCACTGCTTGATGGTAGAGATTCCATTCTCAACTTCAGAAAGTGAGAGACAATATTCCCCTATAATCCAAAGAGCACAAGAACAAACCCTTGCAGCCCGGATCTGGTAGAATGTATCCAGCAGTCTTGTGATTATTGAGACCCTCAGCTTTGGGTTTGTCTCAATGATCTCACGCACAAAGAGTACTACATCAACAGCAGACGCAACATTACTGTCCCCTAGGAAATCCATCAGCAGATGAACAACAGTACTTGCAACTTCTGGGAACTTCATAGCACATGTATGTATAGCCTGAACTAACATCTGTCTATACTCCCCATTCTTCTCAAGCTCGCCACTTTGAGTCTTCACAACCTCCTTCTTGAGCGTCAGCACCACCTCATCAACATTCCTTGGGGTTATCAGATCCAGCGCAATATCTAATGTCTTGCGACGAATATCAACATTAGGGCTAGAGAGTGCCCTGAGAACATCCATGATCATGTCTACCATAATCTCTCTATGGGAGGATTTTAGTTCATTGAGCCGCTCCAGAACTATAAGCTTGACATTGTTATCACTCTGTGAGAGAAGCTGGCAGTAGGTGTTTGCAGCTGCTCTAATTGCTGTTGGAGCAGAGGAAAGGGAGACCAAAGTGCCAGCACACTCGTAGATGACTGCAGTAGATGGGGCACTGAGAAGCGAAATGATGATCTTGATATATCTGCCCTTCTCCGCACGATTAGATCTGCAGACCTTGCGAATGAGATCTAGTACAACCATCTGTAGCTGCTCGGGCCAGTCCTGAACCTTATCGACATGGGATAGAAGGTAGTTGACAGCTCGGTCCTGGGCGCAGGTGAAGAGCATGAGGAAAGCATTACGGCGCGCAGAGGGATCCTGCTCACTATTGAGGATGCGCTCAATGACCTCGGGAGCATCTGCAAGGAGCTGCTCGCCCTGGGGGAGCTTGTAGATGGACATGACAGCAAGAATTGCATTGCGACGGATGAACGGGTGACGGTGCTCAATGTTTGACAGAATAGAGGGGATGAGAGGCTCAATGATCTCAGCCTCGGAAAGGCGACAGAGGAATCTGAGGGTGACACCTCGGATGTACTCGTTAGGGTGTTGCAGGTTGTTCCGCAGGTTCTGGCAGATAAGGATCATCTCCGGCAGGACGCGGCCAGTGGAATCGGTCTTGTCGATTATCTCAAGATAAAGAAGTAGGAGCTTCTGGATCGTGTGGTCCTCCGAGGGAAGGACGTAGCGGACGATTGTGATGAAAAGCTGTGGAAGGGTCTCGCCATTAAGAAGAAGCATGATAGCCTTTTTCATAGCGTCGATCTTAGAGACGACGTCGTTTCCTTCGAGTGCCAACTTGATCTCGTTGGCCAGGGCTGGGGTACCCTTGTCGAAGTGGACGAGGAGAGTGGACGACCTCTCCATCTTGCTACGTGTAGAACTGGAAGAGGAAACCTTATAATGGAGGGTTATAAGGAAGTGCTCTTGTAGATCTAAGGGGATTAGAAAGCAGATCTGGTTTCGATGGAATCGGTTTCGGTTGGGATTAGGCGAAAGAAGAAATCAATAAACCCTACAATAGATCGAAGAGATCTGAATTGTTCTAGAAGATGGGAGCTCGTACCTTCTAGAAGACGGCGGCGGGCCTGAGAGCCGCCGGTGGGAGAGCTCCAGTGGCGACGAGGAGAGGAGAGATTGGAAACACAGTCGTTGGAGTTGAAATGGGTTTGGGGATAGGCGAGCCGAAGGGGAACTTGCAGGCTTAAATCAATCAATCGCGTTACTTCAGTACATCAGGGTCGTCCATTTCCATGGGAGTGAATTTCATTTTTTTTCTTTTCATTATTGCCTTTTGTTTGCTTATAATAGAATTAAACTAACAAAAGTCATGCAATTTGGGTGAATTTAATTGACAAATAGCAACTATAATAAGATTTGGATTGTGTGATACATATACAATAAATACATTATTAAATCATGTTAGACTAATCTATTGAATGTTCATTGAGGATGTTAAGCCCTTATGAATTAGTGTGAGGCTAACTATTATTAAATCTTGTTAGACGAATCTATTGAATGTTCATTGAGGATGTTAAGCCCTTATGAACTAGTGTGAGGCTAACTAAGAGAGAGGGGTTGAATTAGTTATCTTAAAAATTCTCAAACATAAATCATGATTCAAACCAAAACGATCATCCACATAAAATAAAATGCGGAAATGCAATAAGAAAGAGCACACCAGATTTTATAGTGGTTCAGTCAACTTGACATACGTCCACTCCCCTGAGCCTCTCCTTCGGGTATTACACTAAACTCAGTGACTCTCCTTTTGCTCCCACAACAAGGCGGAGAAGCCTTTACAAAAACTCCTTTCCACTGACCCCGGTGAGGTAGAGAACCCAACCCCTTTCGCTTCCTCCTGAAGCAGGAAGAGAACCTCTCCTTCGCTTCCTCCTGAAGGAGGCAAAGAACCCCCAATCAATCACTGAAAGTAGACCTCTTTAGAACCTCCAAGGAACTAGGGACGACGACAGGAGAAGATGACTCGGATCCTTGCTTGGAGCAACCATTGTGAAGCCCTCAAGAACTCCCCCTCATAAGATCCTTTCTCTCTCCCAAGCTCTCCCTCTTCTCTTGGCTCTCTCAGGTCAGGATAGCAACAAAATATCACATTTTGAGTAAACAAGAGATCTTATATAAAAGGGTTTCAACTTTGACCTAAATTATAATTAAGCGACAAAGATCATCCAAGACGATCGATGGATGGTCCTGTACGATCAGTACAAATTCAGTTCAATCAGCCAGGGCGATCTGGGCGATGTTGCATGATTAGAATATTTGTTTGTTTTGACCGTCCAAGACGATGGGTACATTGTCCTGTACGATTAGTTAAAAACATATAATATTGTCCATACCATTGCTCTGTTTGGCAAGACTTTACATGTTGGACGATAAAAAAATAACTAATCATTTAGGCCGATTATTGGATCATCCTGTATGATTAGTTCAAATCCATAAATATCGTATTGCACATCATTTTGTTAGTCCTGGATAATTCAGGAAGAAACTAAGGTTTATTTAATTGATCGTCTCGGACGATCTTGCGATCGTCTAAGACGATAAGATCGATTAATCAAAACTTAATTACTTTCTTTAATCATCAGACTAATTTAAGCATAATTATAATGTATAGTCTAGGACGTAGTCCTAACGATGTCAAAAAATAACAATGTGTCTAAAAGAGTTGGTTGTTGATTCTTTTTTATTTGAGCATATCGTCTAGGACGATGAGAATATCATCCAGGACGATTTGCTTAATTCAAATGTCTTAATAAAGATGCCCTAATTAGGGTTTCTATTTTCAATTGATCGTCCAGGATGATTTTGGATCGTCCTAGATGATATAATCAAAAATAGAAAACTCTAAAACATAAATAATTTTTCTCCTTAAGTGTGTGTGTGAAATGTTACTTAGCATCAGGTTCCTCTTTATTACATTTGACTTAAGAAAAGGAAAAAATACTCAGAAGTACATTTACTAACTGATCCAATCCTAATCTATCCAATCTTGAGCTAGCTTGATTTGCAATTGACCTTGTGGATCTTAAACGTTAGTAGGCAGGGGAATAGTAAAAAAAACAAAGATGTCATAAATGCTTACAATCATCAAAATTATAATCTTTGAATCCATATTTGCAATAATCTTTCCCTTTTTGATGATGACAAATATTTGGTAGTAAATTAAACTTAAGCAGTTAATTAAAATATAACATAAAGGAAAATAATATGAACTAAGTAATGCAAATTTTACTAAAATCAAGCAAATGGTACAACCTCTAAAGAACGATGATGAAACAACGAAATAATACAAACATATTAACACTACCACTACTTCCCCTTTTGACATCACAAAAAGGAGGAAACATAAAAGAAAATAAAACTAGTAAAAATAAAATATAAAATAATGAAAAGATGACAAAAATGGCAAAAAGAATAAAAAAGTAAAGTTTTTTTTTATCAAAGCAAGAATATGATAAATATTCAATGTGATTGAATTAAAAATTTGTAAGAAATTGAGTTAACATCGTCGAAATCCAAAAAATGATAGAACAACCAATCATGTTAATCCTAGCTCGGACTTCTTACAGGGCAAACCATCTTTTGAAAATAAAGATCTAGCTCAGAAAAATCAATTGGATAAGAAAATAAGATCCGTTCAAAACTTGGTTCTATAAAAATAGCTTACAGAATAATATACCAAAATAATTAGTCACAAACATGAATTTCAAAATCAAGTATTTGAAATTATCAAGTGACACATGAATTCTTCTAAGATTTAAAGGTTTGAAAGAGAAGAAAGCTTGCTTTATTGTGGGCTCATTTTGTGCCTCTTATTAATTGGTTGATATACTTTGTGCAACTTTTAATTTTTGAAACACTTTGTATATTTTTTTTTAAAAAATTTGCAATCATTATGCATATTTTCAAATTTTTTTGGGCTGATTTTATGCCTCTTATCACTTTTGTAAACTAGCTCCTTTTTGAAAATTTTAAATACTCTTAGTTATGATAATATCTTCCATATATTAGAGAAAAAAACTCACTCTCTAATATAAGAAAGAGTAAACCATAAAGTAGAATCAAATTCATATGATAATGCAATAATAAGATTAAGAAAGCTTGAAAATGATTTAATGATTTTAAACATTATTTAGATAAGATCGATTACTATAATAAGATAGAAAAGATCTCAATCGCAAAGTCCAACAGTTAATTTGAGATAGACTTTTATTTAAAAAAAATTACACCGCTAAAAGAAGTTAGAGGAAGGGAAATAATCAACGATATTTCTCTCTTTAATTGATTTAGGGATGTCAAATATTGACTACAAATTTTTAAGAAAAAAAAAACATAAAATATCATTTCAGTTGTGACCAAAAAGAAAAATTCAAAGAAAAATAATAACATTAGAAATGAAAACACTGAAAAATAAAAGCAAATAAAAATCAACACTTAAAACTAAAAATAAAAGAAATAATATAAAACAATAACAATAAACAAGATATTAGAAAACATAAAAACCAGAGTTCAGAAAGCATCAAGTTCAAGCATTTGTATCAATCACACCCAATATGATCCTTAAGATGTTGAATGTGTCAAAGGACAGTGGTTTAGTAAAGATGTCAGCAAGTTGATTCTCAGTTGCCACATGATGTAACTCAATGTCTCATTCTGTAATATGGTCCCTAATAAAGTGATGTCTTATATCAATATGTTTGGTCCTTGAATATTGGATAGGATTTTTAGAGATGCAGATGGCAATAGTGTTGTCACATAGGATTAAAATTATGCCTACAGAGAATCTTAAATCCAGAATTTATTGCTTCAACCAAAGGACTTGGGCCACACAACTTTCTAAGATAATGTACTCAGCTTCAATAGTGGAAAGTGCAACAAAGTTTTATTTTCTACTATACTAGGAGACTAAAGACTGTCCTATGAATTGGCAAGTTCCATAAGTGCTCTTTCTATCCACCATACACTCTGTAAAATTAGAATCAGAATATTCAATAATCTCAAAAAAGTGTTGTGTCTAGGATACAAGATTCCTAAATTTTGGGTCCCTAAGAGATATTAAAGATTCTCTTAACTATAGTCAAGTGGGATTCTTTAGGATCTGCTTGAAATCTAACACAGAGACAAACACTAAACACTATATAGGCCGGCTAACAGTCATGTAAAGTAGTGATCCAATCTTCCTCTATACTTCTTTTGATCAATATATTTTCCATTTGAGTCCTTATCCAACTTAGCATTGGAGCTCATGTAAGCATTTATTGGCTTGGCTTTATCTATTTCATATTTCTTCAAGATGTCATTAATATACTTTGTTTGATTTAGAAAAATTCCATCATTCAATTGTCTTATGTTAAAATCTAAAAAGTATGATAACTCTCTCATCATACTCATCTCAATTTTTTTACTCATTGTTTTAGAAAAATTAATGCATAACTTTTTATCAGAGGATCCAAAAAAGTATATCATTAATATACATCTGAAAAATAAGTAACTCATATCCTACTTTCCTTAGAAATAAGGTGGTGTCTACACTCTCTTTAACAAACTCTCTCTCTCGTAGGAATGTGCTAAGCCTCTCATACCAAACTCTAGATGTCTATTTTAATCCATATAAAACCTTTTTTAATTTGTAAATATGATTTGAAAATTAAAAACTCTCAAAACCTGGGGGTTGCTCTATAAACACATCCTCTTTTATTATCCTAATTAAAAAAGCACTCTTGATGTCCATTTGGAAAATCTTAAATACTTTATAACATGCAAAGGCTAGTAGCACTCTAATGACTTCCAATCTAGATACATGGGTAAAGGTCCCCTCAAAATTAATCCATTCTATTTGGTTGTACCCCTTAACCACTAATTTTGCCTTATTTCTAACCACCACACTAGAATTATTCATTTTATTATTAAAAACCTATTTGGTTCCTACCATACTTTGATTCTTAGGTCTTTCTATTAACTCCTAAACATCATTTCTCACAAATTGGTTAAGTTCTTCTTGCATAGCTAAGATCTAGAATTCATTAGAAAGGGCTTGATTGATGTTGGTGGGTTTAGTCATTGAGATAAAGACTGAGTGGTTCACTTCCTTCCTAATTTCATGCCTAGTTCTAATACCTTCAGAAGGGTCTCCTAAGATCAATTCTTTAGGATGACTTGAAGAATATATC